GAGAGAGAGAGAGAGAAGGAGAGAGAGAGAGAGAGAGAGAGAAGGAGAGAGAGAGAGAGAGAGAGAGAGAGAGAAGGAGAGAGAGTATGCATATCACATGTTAATTATTGTATTATTCTACACGTCTACTACTCTCATTTCTACCGCGTATGTGGTGTAATAGTTTATGGTGCTACGGATTCGCACACAGAAGACCTGGTTTCGCTTCCCATGAAGAGAAAAATGTTTCTTGAGTACCATATTATCTTCATCTTTCTACTGGGACGTTGTATTCCTCTTTGCCGTGTCGGCTCTGACAGACAGCGTTGAAGCCTGCCTCCTAAATAACCTAAGTTGTGTCGATGGGAAAATTTTAAAAAATTACAGTCGAAACTTTCTAAGACGTCCTCCAGTTATCAAGAAGGAAATTGGTCGTCTTGGATGGGTGGTTGTCATGCACAATACCTAGTGGCTAGGCTACCGGACTAGTAATTGTGAGGTTGCAGGTCCTGTGGTTCGAGCGCGGGCCCGCCGCTGTGTCCTTGGGAAAGGCACTTTACACGAATTTTCCTTACTTCACCCAGGAGGGAATGGGTATCTTGCCATAGACAGCATAAGATCATGTCCGTATGGTAGTGCTTTAGCGCCTATAAATGGCTGCATGAACTTCCCTGGAAGTTGAAGTTGTTTCAGAATGCTCTCAGGTCTGTTGGGGCATTAGTATATATTGTGAAGCGCATAGACCTTGCTGTTTAGCGGGGATTTGCACTATCTATTATTTATTATTTTTATCATAATAGCGTAGCAAAAAATACAGAGGGGGGTGGAGAATGGGAAGTGGCCGTTTGCATAATGTGATTGACTTACACAAATGGCCGCTAGAGCAAGTTCGACTGTATGTTTTGTTTGTTTGTTGTAGTTGTTGTTTTTAATAAGAAGAAGAAGAAGAACATTTGTATCCCGCCTTTCCCCACAGCATGGGCCCAAGGCGTACATAGCAGATTAAAAACGCATTCATACTAACACCATACAAATTCATCATTTGCACACTTTTTGACAACAACATTCTTTCCGACAATAAAAAATGCTCATACAAAAAGATTGTTGTTGTTGTTTGTTCGCTTGTTTGTTTGGTTTTAGTTTGGGGGGGGGGGGGTCTTGTTATATTTTTTTTAATTAATGAGTTAATTCCTCTCGTCCTCAGTCAGCTGAAAGAAGACTACTTTGAGGACATGAAGGACTACATCCCCATCCAGGGCCGTCAGACGCCTATAGGAATGGTGCGTCCGTCCTCTCCTGGAGGGCCCAGATTGAGCGTGGAGAGACAGTCCAGGCCCAGAACTAGGTCAGACAGACCAGGGCTCGGACCTCGCTCACGCACACAGGTTCGATCAAGCTTTGGTTTGGTTTTATTTGGTCGCTTTTAATTAAGCACAAGGGAGCTCTCCCGAAAAATACTGTTTTGAGAAAATAGAAGTAAGTTAAAGTTTTTGGACCCTTGTTCAGTTTGTTTAAAAACAATGAGAGGTTTCTATATATATAACTAAACAAATATACGCACCAATGAAACCAAACTTCTCCTATGGGTAGGGCAATGCCCACTTTTGGTGTAGGTCAAGATTTCTGGACAACCCCGAAATCTGGGTTTGCCCGCTTGTCCTTAAAAGTGACCATTTAGTGTAAACGTTTTACGACACTTGCAGCACAATAAGGTCATATAGACGTCTAAATGCCGAAGATTAGAGGCGTTACAAGAGAGTCACAAAAAAGGAGGAGAGATAAGGACGACAGATGTTTGATAGGAAAGAAGAAGCAGCAAACCACACCAGAGCACCCACCAACCACCTACAAAATTTAAGTGTCACTGTAAACTCTCTGATAAAAGCCGAAGATCAGAGCTGCTACAAGAGAGTAAAAAACGCAAAAAAAGGAAGGAGAGATACGGGTGATAAATATTTGTTAGGGAAAAAAAGAGCAAACCACACCAGAACACCCGCTAACCACCCACTCAGGTACGAGCAAAAAGTGATATGTTTTTTATCTTGGGAATTTCTTTCGATTTGAAGGTTCCAAAGCAAAATGCATCGTACTCCAAATCAGAACGGGATTTCCGGGGAAACCCTGTCCACTCCATTATTCCAATGATAGTACATAACAAGATGGGCCACTTCTCTCTTTGAGCCAATTAAAAAAGTGTCCTCAAAATTTGGTGGCGCCCTCTTCACAAAAGCGTACTCTTTGCGAACAGAGTTACCCTACTTGAGTTTTTAAAAATCAAAGTGAAACTAGCATGTTTTGGAATAAATTTCGGAAGAACGCTTTTTTAAATGGTTACGCTGACAAAAAAACCTTTTCCGGAGGAAAGGGTGATGGTTTTCTTCGTTTAATTTGACTTTAGAATGAAAGGCGAGAGGTCATTAAAAAAAATAAAAAACCTAAAACTACGCACTGAACGTACCCGAACTGCTGATGAACAGCAGTCGATCTGCGCACGCAAGGAGGTACTATTCCTATTCTTCTTCTGGAAAAACGAAAGAGAGCTTCAAAACAGACTGCAGCGCCATCTGAAGCAAAGAGCATACTTCCTGCGGACACTTTTTTGGCTGAGTGAACCATCTTGTTATGTACTATCATTGATTATTCTGATAAGAATATCGTCATGAGTACTCGTCTGTGGCTTTTTAAAAAAATGTTTGGCATGGGGGGGGGGTGTATTTTGGCTCGAAATTAATTAGTATAAAATCCTTCTAATTGCACTGTATCCCTCGATATTGATCAGCATATTTTAAAAAACTTGCGTTTTGTTCATATTTTTGTTTTAAAAGAATGTGTGGTCGGCTTTTATTTCCCCTCCAATTTTTCTCAGTTTTTGTAGTCACTGGATCTCCCCACCGCCCCCACACACTCCCTGCCCCTCTCTCTCTCTCTTTCTCTGTCTCTCTCTCTCTCTCTATCTCTCTCTCTCTCTCTCTCTCTCTCTCTCTATTTCTCTCTCTCTATTTCTCTGTCTCTCTATCTATCTATCTCTCTCTCAATCTTTCTATCTTTCTCTTTCTCTCTCTTTCTCTCTCTTTTTCTTTCTCTCTCTCTCTCTCTCTCTCTCTCTCTCTCTCTCTCTCTCTCTCTCTCTTTCTCTCTCATAACGATAACGAATTCCTTACTTCTGTCCAGATCGACTACGGACAGATAGAAGTGGATGAGAACCCCTACTCCAAACCCATGGACCCAATCAACAAACAGTATTACTACAAGAAGTGGAGGAACCAGCCGCCACAGCCCCAGCCCCCTATGTAAGACTAATCCATTCCAATCCATTCCAATCCTGTCAAATTCAACCCAATCCGGTCCAATCCAATCTAATCCAATCCAACCCTGTCCAGTCCAATCCTATTCAATCCAATCTAGTCCAATGCAATGCAGTGGAGTGCCGCATGGATGGATGGATGGATGGATGGATGGATGTATGGATGGATGGATGGATGGATAGATAGATAGATGGATGGATGGATGGATGGATGGATGGATGGATGGATGGATGGATGGATGGATGGATGGATGAATGGATGGGTGGATAGATAGATAGATAGATAGATAGATAGATAGATAGATAGATAGATAGATAGATAGATAGATAGATAGATAGATAGATAGATAGATAGACAGATAGATGGATAGGTAGCAAAAATTTGTACAATATCAGATAGATAGATTGATAGATAAATAATCTACATGTATTATTGATTCCTCTAGCTAGATAGATAGATAGATAGATAGATAGATAGATAGATAGATAGATAGATAGATAGATAGATAGATAGATAGATAGATAGATAGATAGATAGATATAAAAAATTTGTACAATATCAGATAGATAGATTGATAGATAAATAATCTACATGTATTATTGATTCCTCTAGCTAGATAGGTCTGTAATAATTGACTTAAACTGTATGTCACACACATACATTCATATGCCACCAGCACAAACAATCACGTTCCCTTTCCTTCCTTGCATTTCTTCTATATATATAATATATTATATATATATATATATATATATATATATATATATATATATATATATATACATATATCATAATAACACTGAACAAGAGGACCACTTGTCTAAGATCACTGATCACTTGTTGTTGTTGTTGTTGTTGTTTTTGTTCTTGTTGTTGCTGCTTCTGCTGCTGTTGTTGTTGTTGTTGCTGTTGTTGTTGTTGTTGTTGTTGTTGTTGTTGTTGTTCTTCTTCTTCTTCTTCTTCTTCTTCTTCTTCTTCTTCTTCTTCTTCTTCTTCTTCTTCTTCTTCTTCTTCTTCTGATTTTTTAAAATTTGTTGGGATATTTCGGTCCGTAAAATTAATGTTTGCTAATTGTAGTGTTGTACGAGATATGATGTTGATCTACACATTGCTGTCTCCGAGGTTTTATGCACCCCGTATAATTTAGCAAAAGTTGATCATTTTTGCATAATTTCTGATTATTTTCCTTTATCATTCTTTGTTAAAATGAACAGAATCGCATATTTACACATTTTTGGGGGCTCCGTTTGCATAATTTCATTATTTTTTTTTGGGGGGGGGGCATAAAACCACGGGGACCGACATTGTGTTCCTACTCTCTCTAGCTAACTCTCTTCGTTTCTCCCTTCCAGTTACCGCGAGGGCAGACATTGTGTTCCCTCTCTCTGTATCTCACGCTCTTGGTTTTCCTCTTCCAGATACCGCGAGGACAGACCTTGTGTTCCCTCTCTCTGTATCTCACGCTCTTGGTTTTCCTCTTCCAGTTACCGCGAGGACAGACATTGTGTTCCCTCCTACTCTCTGTAGCTCACTCTCTTCGTTTCCCCCTTCCAGTTACCGTGAGGGCAGACTCGGCAGCCCCTGGCGTCACATCAAAGCTTGCATCAACAACGCCGGGAACCACTTGGTGTTTATTGATGGTGAGTCCAACCTGTGATTACGTGGAGGAGGAGGAGGAGGAGGAGGAGGAGGAGGAGGAGGAGGAGGAGGAGGAGGCTGAGAAAGAGGTGGTGGTGGTGGTGGTGGTGGTGGTGGTATAAGAGAAGGAAGGGGAGAAAAGGAGGAGGAAAAGGAAGAGGAGGAGGAGGAGGAGGAGGAGGAGGAGGAGGGGAGGAGGAGGTGGTGGTGATAGTGGTGTAAGAAGAGGAAGGGGTGATGAGAGGAGGAGGGGGAGGGGGCAATTTGTCAGCAGAAGCTGCAATACTTTTCTCAGAAGGTTGTATTATAGAACAAGAGACTCTTTTGAAACAATGCCTTCGAATGTGACTGGAACAGAGTCTGGAAAGGATTTGAACCTGGGGCACCCACCGTGCATCTCCCTCAATGAGCAAATGGAACACAAGCACTGCCCTTTCTGACTTTTCTTGTTTTTCTTTTAGATTTTCCAACCTTTCATGAAAAAAATGTGGATGGATGGAGGGGGTAGCAAAGTACTTGTTTTGAAATAGGAAAAGATATTTTGCCTTACATTTATCTGAGTTCCGAATATGGCGATGTACTTTACAACATTAATTCATTAAAAAGGATTTTTTAAATTGCCATGAACCCCCATCATTATTTCCTTTTTAACCCTATCTGTACGTGGAGTTTTACTATCTTATCCATAAGACGTGGGGAACTCTGTGCCACCACTTTCAAAGAGGAAATTTACTCGTTAATCCGATCCGTACTCTTTGTATAGCAGTTTGTCAAAATGATTTTTTTAGAAAAACTGAAAGTTTCTTAGAGATCTTTGCAGTAGAAGTATTCTAATATGTGAAGAATACAACCTCAGGGGTATAAAATGACCCCAGGACGTACGGATAGGGTTAAGAGAACAATATAATCGAAGCAATAATATGGTAATGAATCAGTTGATAATGAGTAGGCCCTACGTCACACTAGTCTAGTCGTCCATTGGTGGGATGTTGACTCGCTCAATCAAAGGCTAACTACCCTCTTAATCACTTCACATTCAAACCAATCTTTCAGCGGTACGGTAAAAACAGACACGTAGTTGGATGGCATAATCGTATTGTATAGTATTGATTACTACTCACCCATTCACACTCCTGACAACCATTCTACTTTTGAAACAATGGGCCACGATGGAGTACGTACGATCAACTTCTGGCAAGAATCAATGTTTATCAAACACCATTCAAACAAAAAAAGAGGCCAGCAATATTGTTCCTAGGGTCGCAATCATGGGAAGGTAAAATGGGAGGTGGAGAGGAATTACAAGACGAAAGAGCGGGGCTATTGGGTGAGGGAGCGGGAGCAAGACGAAAAGAGCTTAAGAAGGATAGTAAGAAAGACAGAGATTAAAGAAATGGCGAGAGACGGAGAGAGAGAGGGGGGGGGGGAGAGGGGGGAGAGAGAGAGATAGGGAGAGAGAGACAGAGAGAGAGGGGGGAGAGAGAGAGAGAGAGAGAGAGAGAGAGAGAGAGAGAGAGAGAGAGAGAGAGGGGGGGGGGGGGGAGAATTCAACAAAGGACTGCTAATGGAAGCTATTTTTGTATTGTCAATGCCAACTTATACGGACTTATAGATCAGTGATTTATTTGCACACAAAACTAATTTGAAAATAGGATACTAATCCGCTTAAGTAAAATATTTTTTTAAAGCCCTGTCCACAAGAAGCTTGATCGACAGACCACGTAGCCTACGCTATGGGCCAAAAAATGCAAAACTATACTTGAATAATATAGGGCCTAATGTGCATCCTAGGAGGTCGTAGAGACATGAGTGGATGTCCAATATGTCTTTCCTTATCTGATCATCTCCTTGGTCTTCCTTTTCATCTTTTCCAGCCTGTTAGTCTGTGGTTGTTGCCGGGTTTGGGTTTTTGTATATACCGGTAGTCAAGTTATCTCTCATAGTGGTGTGCTGTTTAGTCGTACAGTTGGGTTTTTGTATATACCAGTAGTCAAGTTATCTCTCATAGTGGTGTGCTGTTTAGTCGTACAGTTGGGTTTTTTTTAATTTCAATTCACACCAAAAAAAAAATCATTTTAATCTTCTGGTTTATATCAATAGCCAATTCGCGACCTCAGAATTATAAAATCCTATCTGACATTTTTGGTTCTTTTGAAAGTTATTAAGACCATGAGTTCAGGAACCTAATGTTCCATCTGATCTATCGAATTCGTAGAATATTTCGGTCTCGTTATCAAGATATTCAAATAATTACATCCGGAAAAGCTTGACATGATGTGAAGCTCAAAATCTTTTACGTCAAATTTCTCAAAACTACGTACTGAGCAGATAGAACTTTGTTACCCTGAGCTAGGTAGCGAATAGCCAAGTGTTTGAACTAATCTTCTGCTACTTATTTGCTTTTTACTTTTTCAATCCCCTGCTGCTGATTTTTGTGTAACCCACCGATGCTCTGGAACTTTCTAAATATTTTAGACTGCCCCCTCATCGCTTTTTTAGACTGCCCCCTCTTTGCTTTTTTCTCCTGGGATTGATCCTGAAGAGCGGGGGGGGGGGAGGGGAGGGGGGGAGAGAGAGAGCAGAGAAGGACATGTTCCGACTGTAGTGACCCCAACACTGTGGACAAGGTGTGACAAGGTGTGACAAGGTGTGACAAGGTGTGACAAGGTGTGACAAGGTGTGACGAGGTGTGACGAGGTGTGTGTGTGTTTCTTTCCCCCTCCAGGAACTATCAAATCAGAAGAGAACTTCTTCTACCCACCGGAGTCGATGTTCGAGCCGCCCAACTTCTCCATGTACATTTCCCCGCGCATGCCCAGACGGTCTCTGACGCAGGTGCCGCAGACGTACAGAGGTGACTCCCGGGGCTCCTCCTTCAATGAGCGGGCCAGGCAAGGCTTTCAGTATTGGTACCACCAAAAAAAGCCCATTGACTGTGAGTACATCCTGACTTCATTTATAAGCTTTCTAGGAGATTCGTGAACGGTATAGGTCATGTACACATCAGCTGTCTCCGTGGTTTTATGCACCCCGCATAATTTAGCATAATTTGATAATTTTTTGCATAAATTCGAATTATTTTCCTTCTTCATTCTTTGTTAAAATTAACAAAATCGCATAATTTCACATTTTTGGGCTCAGTTCGCATAATTTCATAATTATTTTTGTATAAAACCGCGGGGACAGATACCTTTGCGAAATGTGTGCTTTGATGCAAACTTTTTAGGAGCTGATTGATTGACAGTTAGAGTAACATTCGAGATACTAGCGCACCAACCAATGCAAGGAAGTAAGTTGCGGTATGAGCAGGTCTGCGGTTGCTGGCAAAAAGAAATTCTTCTAGTTGGCCAATTAACCTCTTGACTGCTAAGTAGACGTACATATAGATCTAGTACACAGGGGCGAAGGCTGACTTGTTTGACAGGGTAATCAAAGTGAAATGGAACCAGATAGGGCCTGGAGATATCACACTCACACCAGTCACAAGAATCTTGCTGGCACAGGAGGCGGCAACTCTGAGTTGTGAATGAAAACAAGTCCTGAATTCCTGTTGTATGCTTGTTCAACCGCTAAAATAATCGGGAAAGTATTTCATTAAATATTTATTCTAACTAACCTTAAATTTAACTTTAGATTTGAACACACGAACACCAAGGAAAGAAGCACAGATGTCAGCACTACAATGGCATGTTATACCAGACAGCCGAAACACTTTGGTAGAGCACGACAATTATTATTTTTTTATTTCACGTTTGGCTGTTTTTTGTCTAGCTTTTTGCGGCCAGGAGCCTCTGTCATAATCGAGGTCACGATCTGATTATAGGACGTTAATATAAAAAGTCGAGGAAAAAAAAACAACAAGAACTAGCAGTGTAGTAGCAGGAGTCAAAGGATTATTAAGAGTTAGTTCCCCTCACATCTGTGAGGTAGACTCGACCAGTGTAATAGTTGGCTTACCTAATCAGCGCGTCTGGGTGCTTATAACTGTGGCCCAAAAGGGGTGAACAGGGTATATGCGACAATGAAACAGTTCTGACTGCTATGCACATGTGTTCCCTTTAACTCTATTGGTTGACTCTTCCAGCCTCACTTTAAGCTTACTTAATTAAAGCTTGTGACTGCTTATGGAGTGGCCCGATAGGGGCGAACAGGCTATTTCTGTGGCAATGAAACGGTTTTGAAGGTTAGGCATAGTCTATTGTTCATTGGTGATTATGAACGTCTTTTTACATTTAATTTATGAGGTTTACATCTATGGGTGAATTTGACTGCGACAATGTATCAAAATTAGGAAGGGAAGCAGTGATTATTTGATTATATAGACGCTTCGCCTCTGCTAGTACATACTCTCTTGTGTTCCCCCAAACTGTTCTCTGCCACTTTTCCTCCGGTTCATTTATAATATGGGAAGTTTTCGGAAATACTGCAATGGCAATTCGTGCTGTTGTTGATTCTTAAATAAGGAAAAATATATCACGCTTTGATAAAAATATCTCCAAAACTAACATTGTATTCGTATGTGCAAAGTAGATAGATACGTCTCAGCAATGAAGGGGTTAACTGATTTGTTTTTTACATTTATTTATCTATTTTTATTTTATTTATTTATTTATTTATTTATTTATTTTGCAAGTAATATAGACTCCAACAATCTATCTAATATCTATTTCTTTTGTCGTTGACGCAAGTTTAGTTTGCCCTTGACTTGTAACGTAGACCTATATCACAGATGTCAAACTCAATATAGATCTATATATATTACTGGATTATTGTTTTAAAAAGATTACGTTTTCCGTTGCTCAGTTAGAGTTGACCCAGTTCGGCCCACAACCCGAAGAGTAATATTTGAGTTTGGCCCTCTGTGTAACTATTTGACAGCCCTGGACTATGTCTTTTCAAAGGAACAACAGTGGGTGGTTGGCGGGTGCTCTGGTGTGGTTTGCTTCTTCTTTCTATAGAAACATATATCGTCCTTATCTCCCCTTCCTCTTTTTTTATGTTTGTTACTCTCTTGTAACACCTCTAATCTTCTGGCTCTCATATGACCCTATGCAGTTGCGAGCGCCGTAAAACCTCTACTACTATAACTAAACTAACTAAAAAGGAACGACACTAATTGATTAATTATGTAGTCATTTGAGATTTCAAATATCCTAGGAAGACGGGTGAGAAAAAATACGACCCCTACTGAGATCGAACCCCAGAATTTCTACTTGGTCTTTTCTGTCTCTGGGGTTTTATGCACCCCGCATAAATTTAGCAAAATTTGATCATTTTTTGCCTAATTTCTGATTATTTTCCTTTATCATTCTTTTATTCAAATTAACAGAATCACATAATTTCACATTTTTGGGCTCAGTTTGCATAATTTCAGATTAATTAATTTATTTATTTTTGCATAAAACCGCGGGGACTGTCCTTTGTGCAAAAAACTGAAGGTTCAAGGAGAGGAAAACCTAGCAATAACGTCATGTGACACGGTTTCCTTACACACATCGGTCTGTGATGAATTTCACAATGTATTCTGATACATTGCATGTGGTCGCTTTTAAGCACAAGGGGGCTATCCCGATAAATGCTGTTTTGAGAAAAATCGAAGTTAAAGTTTTTGGATCCTTATTCAGTCTCTTTAAAAGACAAGGAGAATTTTCTCTAGAACCACACAAATATATACACCAATGAAACAAAACTTCTCCTATAGCTCTATAGGTAGGGCAATGCCCACTTTTGGTGTAGGTCAAGATTTCTAGAAACCCCTGAAATCTGGGTTAGCCCACTTGTCCTTAAAAGCGACCATGTATGCTTGAGTGTGTATAACTACATGTATATGGGTGCCTCTCTGAAAGAATCCATTTCTATCAGGACATGATAAGATATATGTAAAAGAGTAAGCTATGAATGTTTCTTTGCTTGTGTGTCGATATCTGGTGTGTAAGAAAGACATAAAAGTGTGCGTGCGTGTGTGAGAAAAAGGAGAGAGAGAGAGAGAGAGAGAGAGAGAG